TTGGAACCCGGAAAGCTTGTTTTTAGGTATCAATTACATATGTGTATGTTTATAGATTTCACTCCTGGGAGAAAATACAAATACTTATCTTGTACCTATGTTTTATAAGAACAAGTTCTGTGGTAACTCCTAAATTCATTATTAGCAAAGGTTGCATTTAAGATTCCTATGTCTACTGCTTAATAACACCCAAATTAGTCTCGATGGAATTAGCTGTAATTAAGGACATTGTGAAATATGGCGGAGCAAACAGAATTACACTGTATTACTTTATTAATAATATTCTTTAACTACACTGTAAATTGCTATTAGGCCTGCATATTACTGCCTGGATATGGAAATAGTCTTTTGCTATGCTAATCTAACACAATTTTCTTTTAAATGTAAACAAATTATACTCTATTAATATGCTGTTCTACTTGCATAGTTAATTATTGTAACAGTAAGGAATAAAATTGTTCTGCTTTCTCTGTTTCTGATGGAAAAAGGGCTACATAAATAGTTTAATAGGGAACTAATTATGCAAAAAATTTAGATGCCTAAAATGTGTTTGTAATTACATTAAAATGGTCTTCTGTTCAAATATTGGAAAGCCTGCTAATTGGAGGCTAGCTGAAAATTTAAATATTGTGAATCAATGATTTTAATACAGTACATGTTTAGCTGTGTTTCTGTTCATATTTATCTTGAAAATGAAGAGAATATTTAACAGTGTTTAATAAGACGGGGTCTGAGTTTCATACCAATGAAGTAAGTCTGCGGCAGACTGGAATTTTAAGCATGCATTTTACAGCATTATCTTTAATTTGCTCAAGAGGTATGGGCAACTTTTGGCTCTGTAACAAGAAAAACAAAAGTATCCTGTATAGAGGATAAGTTGCGGAAAGAAAATCAGATGGAGAACAAATCAAAGAGTCCTGGAAAATGCCCCACGACAGGCAAACCGGAGTTGATACAGTTGCAAATTGCTAAATTGTTTTAGATAAATAAACACATGTAGCAGATCACCTGCCTATTCTCCAAGGATTTCCAAGTGCATCATGTTATCCAGTTGTAATTAAGGAGTGTTAAAGATGTGGTGCCTTGTTCTCAGTGATTCTTTGTGAAATCTGAGCTTTTATTTTGATGCGGAATGAAGGTTCTTAATCTGAGAAAAATGCAATGCTAAAATAAGCCCACTCTTTTGGAGAGAATTTCAACAACCTGTCCTGAATTTTAAACTACTTTGGAAAAAAAAATAAGGGCAAACTGTTCATTATAATTTTTACGACAATACAAATGAGAGTACTGCATATGTAACCAGGATTAATTACACAGATAATTGGGAACCTAGAAATAACTTTATAACTTAAAAGTCTTGCCTACTTAACAGAGCTGTTGTGAGGATCAAGAGATATAATGTGCCAGAAAGGGTGCTGAAGAGTATAAAGCTCACAAAGAAGGTAGCAAGACAATCCCCATAGTAATTAATAACAAAAAGATGAACTGTAATTTGTCTTATGGAGTAATCCCTGCTGGTAGCTCCTTCCGCTCAAACTTCCATGGCTGCCATGTCCTGATGGTACAGGGAGTGGTTAAGTTTGGACTCTGGAAGTAACAGACCAGACAGTGAATCCTGGCACTAGCTCTTTTGGGCAACACAGGATGCTCTGTGGGTCTATTTTAAGATTTAGTCACAACCAGTGAGTTGATTGACTTCTCATAAACCACTGCCACATTCTCTTGCTGATTTTGAAAAAGGAAAAAAAAAATTCCAAAATCAGTCCTAAACACTTGCAAAGACACACACTGCCTTGGGCAGAGCCCAGCACCTTAACCTGGTGTTGGGGACTTTATCGTCTTACCACTCCCTACCTGTTATCTAGGTGAGCGCTCTGCTCTACCCAGTGTGGGAGATTCCTTATTCCCAAAAAATGTCCTGCACTTTCCCTTGGCTGGGCCATTGTCCCCACCTTTTTTCTCCTCACTTGGGCTGTTTCCTCCTCTTTCCGTTAGCCTTTCTTCCAGGCCTAATTCAAATTCTCTATCTTCTTCTAGGATCTTCATGAAACCCTTCAGCACTCAATGACCCCTCCCTTCCTTTTACATTCCTAATAAGTAATGTCTAAAGCTTTCCTTTGGGACTTGGCATGTGAAACTGCTTGTTATTTTACTCTTTCAGTGTTGTATTTATTTTATTCTAACTCAATAATAGGCTCCTCTGGATGGTTTATGCATCTTATGTTTCTGGAACGCAGTGTGTCCTACATGTAGGTAGCATGTTTTGTAGATTCTTGCTGTTATGAGAGAGCACAGCACATGATGCTCAAACAATATGTGGGACTGCCACCTTAGCCAGATCACCCTAAGCAATCCACTTTAGTGAACGAGAGTCAAAGCCCACTGCCCTCTCTATTATCTGCATGATAGGCTGCTCAGATTATCTGAGAAAGCACCTTGGATGATGGGAGAACAGAATAGCGCCTAAGAACTGTCTTAGTGAAGAGGTGCTTTGTCTAATTCTGTCCTGCCACTGTGCAGTTACCCATCCCTCTGTATGCACAGAACATATACTATATGGATGCTGGAGCTGGACACCAGACATGTTTGAAAACTCTCAATCTTATTTTGATCTGCTAAAATTATTTCTCCTATCTCTTTCCAAATGGAAATTTCAAAGGTGTGTGTGATCGCTATTTACTGTAAGTTTTATCTGGGCTGTTTATTTTGTCTTATTCACTGATGAGGGAGAAGAATATCACAAACCCACTTCCCTACCTCCTGCTGTTATTTTAGTCATCAGTATTTACCTTTCTAAAAATGCCACAAGGTCTTTTATACTGGTAGAAAGTCGTGTATTGACTGATGCCATCATCAATTAATGTATTCCCTTTTTTCTTCGTACAATTATTAATGAGCAGTAAAATGCCAACATGGTGGAAACAGAAGGGAGAAGAAAGAACAGAAAAGACACGGATCACTCAAAACTAAAGAAGCAGCTCATGAATAATGGACAGCCGTGTGCATACAAATTGCCAAGTGATTTACCCAAGAGGGTACAATATGCGTTCTACGTGAATACTCTCATGGATGAAGCATGACGAAATTCTCTTTATTAAGTGGAATAATCAACCTGGTAGGGTGCTTTTTCTAAATTAGAAATATCATTCCATAGAAGAGAAATATTCTTGTCCACCCACAGCCTTTATTCTTTAGAATCTGCTTTGTTCCTTACTGAAGAAACCCAGAAGAACCCAGTTCAATGCATTGTAGCAGAGAGAACCCAGTCATGTCCAATGGAAAGTAGGTTACGGGGAGAAGCTGAGCTTGCTAATTTCTTTTCCTTTTTCAATTGAGATATATATGGTGCCTTCTTGATCTCTTGCTCTATTCTCCACAGGTTGTACTATACATACATATAAAATGACCATTAAAACTACCATATCCTCTGGGCCAGACTAGTCTGTTTTTACTATCTTCTGATCTCTTAGCATATGACTTACAGACAGAATATTAAAATCCAAAAAGGATTTAGCTCAGGGCACATGTTGCCACTGGTAACCCATGGTAATAAGGTAACCCTATATACTTACAAGTGCCATATGTTACATGAATAGATACATATGCAGAGAGAGAGAGACTGTTTTTAGAAAACTCATGGATTCCAATAAAAAGGAAAAAAAAGTATTCCCTGGAGTACATCACTGGAGCTTTAGGCTATTGATTCAATTTACTCTTCAACTTTCAGAGCTTTATTTCTGGTTTTACAGGAATTATAGGGAAACCAAGTTATAAAAGTTTTCAGGAAACAAAGAATGAGTATTTACCGAAAAGTCCCAGTGAAATGAAATTTATCAGTAAAAGCCCAACGCAAGCCACTTAAAGGTTTAGATGCAATTCAGGTAGAGTTTCCCCTGCCCCCCAAAAAGAATATATACATATATTTTCATTTTCTAATAAAATAATATCTTCTACTGTCCAGGGTTAACATACTAATATAAGCAGTAAAGTTTAAAGAGAGAGTGAGAGAGTTTTTCAGTAGGTTATGATTTTTCCACAGTATTTTCTAAAGTCAAACCTCAGGACCTAGAAGATACATTAGAAGATGAAGCACGTACTTATTTTCCAGTCCAGCAAGACAACCCCAAGCCACAACAGCAGCTCTACTGTTCTATCAGAAGAATGTGTGACTTTTCTTTAAAAAGGAAAACTACTTTCTCACCAGAACTTCCAGGTGCTTAACACTTTCTTGGTTTATTCCTAAACAGAAAGAGAACATGTTCAAACTTGATGGGAAGATTTCATATGGAAGAAAAGAGCTGTGTCTGTCTGTTAAAAATTTTTTAAATAAAAAATTAAAAAATCCTTTAATTAATGCTTCAAAACAGATGACAATGAAGTCGCACGATTGAGGACTTCAAAGGCCCAGAGTCAGAGATTCTAAGCTTCCCCGTAAGTCCTCTTAACTGGAATGAACATTTGCTGTCAAAAAAGGTAAAAGTCTGCCTCGATTTCCTCAATAAGATCAAGGGTGGACAAAATCTGAGAAAAAGAGATTAAAATGATGCTCATTTATTTGATTGAGATTCTAAAGGACATGGTACAAAGGAGTAGTGGGCATATGCTATTGTTAATCATATAACTGGTTTCTTTGGAACGATGGTGTTTTCTCTAAACATTCTAGAAGACTCCAGAGAGGATTTTTATATTAGCCTATATGTGCCTGCGTGTTCCCTGAGAGTGTGTATTACCTTGAAAGAACAATCACAAAAACGGTTTTAATGATGATAGCAGCAGTGTCTGACTAACATCTCCTCTCCCATCCTTTGTCACAGAGAAGACCATTCCTTCCTCTTCTCTGGACTTTCACATTGTGCCTGGGAGGATGCTTTCCCCTTTCCTGGTGCCAGATGCCTCCCTCCCCCAGAACACCATGCCAGGCCACAGGACTGGGTCCAGCCTCCTTCACCTCCTCCGCGTTCTCCACACAGCCTCCTCTTCTCCAAAGACTCCAGCTTTTCCCTCTCCTTTCTCACATTGACTTTTAAACTGTGGCAGCCTCAAGGAATGGCCGTTAGTGCTGAAAACCCGTTACACCCACCTGCCCACATTACCCAGCAATGGGAGTGGGGAAGGCTCGTCTCAGGCCGAGAATGACCAAAAATCAGTTTCTGTTAACTGTGATCATTCACAAAGCCAAGTACCTTCTCATGCTTTGGTTCTTTCCAATACCTCCAATTCTCCTGAAACAAACAGAGAGAAACCAGATCTAAATATCAGCATATCTTTTGTTTTCTCAACTCAAGCTATGGCATGGCAATGTGAAAAATGTTCAAGAATTAAATAAATTCACAATAACATGGAGAAACTGCAGCAGAAAAGTAAGACAGATGACACTCTTACATTCTAAATTTTCTCTGTGTCTGCAGACTGTGATATATTCCTGGGCTCCCTATAGCTAACCTCTTTTGAACACATCTCATATGTTTTTGGCAGGTACAGAGCAAAGACAGGCTCATTTGAGCAGCAAAAGAATCTGTAGACTATTGTTCTTACAAAAAAATAAATAACCACTGAACATTGTCCATGGCTTCCTCCTGCACAGGGGTTTCTCATTCGGAATTGAGCTTGATAAGCTCTGCTGTTTCAAGTCTGCTACTTACAAAAAGAAAAAAGAAAGCAAAGAAGTATGGGTGCTTCAGGGAACAGAAGTCATTTCATTTCAGAAGAATGAAGGTAAACCCAGGGCACAGTGGGGGACTGGTTGGTGGATAAAGTATGAATTTGTTATAAAGGCAGAGAGAGTTACAGAGATACATCTCAGAGATAAATACTCCAGATGAATCTAAGATAAGGTTAGTATTACTGACTAGAAAAAAATGTGAAGAAATTAATTATGACACATTATGTAAAATAAAATATAGTGGATGTCAAGGGGGCAAAAATACAACAAATCATTTATGGCAATAATCTCCTTAAATAATTTCTGTAACTTTATGTTTGTCTTTAACTCGGAAGTGTAGAATCAGCCTGAGGGCATTGAAAAAAACTGGAATGCATCCAAATCTTTCCTTTTAGTTTTCTTTTTGACAAATTCCCAGAATAATCTAATGGATACATCTTAATGTTTCTTTATTCTGAAAAATCTAATGGAATCTCACAATTTTGGAAAAAAGAATCCAGTAATAAATAAACAACAGTGTCTCATGAGAGATCAGGTGAGAAAGGTACACTGAATGAGGCCTTGTGGCTGACCTCAAAGGTCAGCCAAGAGTTCTAATAAAAATGCACCAATTTATGTGCTCTATATGTGTAATGTGAATTGTAATGCGTTCTGCTGTCATACATAACAAATTAGAATTAAAAATAAATTTAATTTAAATAAATTAATGCATCAATTTAAATTATATATGGGGAGTTTTAACTTTGGGTGAAACATCTTTGCTTGATTCAAATAGATTATTAGTTAATTAATTGAATTAGTTATTTGTAATGCTGGGGGTCTCTTGAATGCTAGGTAAGCACTTTTCAAGTAGACTGTTTAGGTAATAGATTTTCCATGAATGTTAAAATGCACTATGTGATTTAATTCTCAGAAAGTATGCACTGAAAGATGAGCAAACTAGGGCTGGGGTTGTGGCTCAGTGGTAGAGCACTTGCCTGGCATGTGTGAAGCCCTGGGTTCGATCCTCAGCACCACATAAAAATAAATAAATTAAATAAAGGTATCATGTCATCTACAACTAAAAAAAAAAATTTAAAAAGAATGGATAAAATAAAGGTATAAAAAAAGATGAGCAAACTAGTATCATCCTTTCACCCTTTACCTATCCTTTCTCCACTCTGTCCTCTTTCTTCCATCCCTCTACACTACCTGGACAAGGTTGGTTGCTCTTTATCATCATGTTCCGTTTAGTGACAATAGCCTAGGTAGGTCTTTCCTGTACCCAACTCTACAATAGGTACTCAAGCTCTGTGCTTCCAGATCATTCTGGAAATCCCTTTCCAACATTCCTTTCAACTCCTATTACTTGTTTAATTGTCTCCCCCAACAAACCAAGTTCCAAGGGCAAGAAACATGTCTTGTCTCATGAACTTTGATATGTTCAGAACACTCAGTAATATTGCTCAGCCCTCAAATAGCTGTTGTTTAAGATTAGAGCAAAATTTATAACTAGGCCAAGTGTACTTCTAATAATTGGTGGTTCTAAGTGTAATGAAGGTTGGATTTTCAAATTACAATAAATGTGAAGTAGATAACTAGCAAATTTGAGTTTTTAATTCATTCACCATCCTTACAATTGTTTGCCATTGCTATCAACTAGAGTTGGCCCTCTACATCCACAGAGTCAATCAACTACAAATGGGAAACAATTGAAAAATAATTATGACCATACTAAGCATGTACATTTTCTTCTTGTCATCATTCCCTAATCAAGACAATATAATAGCTATTTACATAGCATTTACATTGTATTAGGCATTAAAGGTAGAGATTAAAGCATGAATTTGTTATAAATGGCACTAAGATCTAAAAACTATACATCAGAGTGATCCCTTAATGTTAATTTTTAATAATAAATACTTGGCTAAAAAAGCCTACAAAGATTGCAAGCAGGTTAAGTTCCTAAAGGTATTCCTTGACCATCAGAGAACAGAGTTGTTTAAATGTCCCTGCAAAGACATGTCAGTTTGTCTGATATCCACGTTCTGTTCTACTAAACATACTATTCATATTCAAAGTATAAGTAAGACTACAGCCCCCTTCAATGTTCCTATTTAATTCTATTTACCTAGAGACTGGTGAAAATAAATTCCAAGAAATCTTGAATTAATTTTTGCATTCTTGGTATCAAGCAGGAGGCAACTCAGTTGTTTGCACAGGGGTGCATTTTCACACCTAGAAATAAACATGGAGTCTGTGAAACCTGTCAGTTGGGATGTCTTATATATGTTAGTATTGAATATACTTCACCCATTTCCTGTAACATTTTTCTGAATTTATCAGCCATATAGTTCCAGTTGAATTATAAAATTCATGAGTGATAGGTTGTGTTTTCTTTATTTTGTTGAAGAAGAAATAGCCTGTCACATATGAAATAAGAACACAGTATTTATTAACAGCAATGGTCATCCTGACCATAACCTCAGTGTCGCGAAAATTTCTTCAAGTGATCAATGTAGTATATATTGATTAGGGCTGTCATAGCCAATAAAACAGATTAAGTATCCAAGATACTGTTAGGAATTTTTTTAAAGCAGTTTAGAAAACAATTAATCATACAAATACAAATTTCAAAATACATAAAAGCGAAGCCTGGTTGTATAGCTAGTGCTTGGTATCCAAAACTGAGAGTACATAACCTTTACCAAAAAGATTCTCTATTGAATGGCCCTTTACCTTTAAGCTAACTCTTAAGTTAATCCTTAAGCCAAGCCTTATCTAAACTCTCAAATTAATCCTTTATCTGGCACTCAGAGTTATAGTGAATTACCTAAATTTAAAAATTCCCCTTCAAAATATTAGATGACTAAACCTTTACTATGGGATTACTGACCTCGGAGAAGAAAACAGTAGACAAGAATAAGAGCCAGAGAGTACTTTTTTTAGTATGAATGGGTCTGGATGCACAGGTTTTGTGGACGCCCCTGAGCAGCAAGGGACAGCATGAGGACTCAGGTCCTGAAGGAGGAACAGACTCTGAGAGGCAGTGAGGAAAATTATTAAGGAAACAAGGACATCCTGGGACATATTCTAAAACATAAAAACCAGAACAAATAGCACTGCTCAGGGCACTAATTGCCTTTCCATTTTTTTTTTTCCATAAACAGAGGATTTTTTTAAAAGAAATGTAAATACTTGGACTTATTGGAGAATAAGAGGTAAAAAAAAAATGTTTCTGGAGTTAATTAGGCACTCTGAATGAAAAAAAAACACCTTAAAAACATGCATATATTTCGATGTAGGAATGCAAATGTTAGAATTTTCTCCCAAGAGGATAATCAAGCAAATATGCCAAAATCTGTACATGAACAAAAATGTAATGTTTCAGTGTTATGTATAATATTTTTTAAAATATTAAACAACCTAAATGTTTGTCAATAGAGAATTGGTTGAGTAAATAATCACATACCCAAACAGTGTTATTCTCATGCCACTAAAAATGATAAAGTCATTCTGTCACTATTGACTTGGAAAAAATGTCCATGATATTTTGAATGAAGAGAAGCATATTTACAAAGCAATGCACTGACTGTGGTCCAAAAACTTACATATGTATAGAAAACAAAGGGTTTGAAAAGTATTCACTCGTGATCATCGCTGAAGTGAGACTATAGCCAATTTTAATTTTTGTATGTCTTTCATCTTTTTCTTCATAATGGGGGGAGTGGACATCAAAGTTGATGTTAATCGATGGAATTAAATGTATAAAAATCAGGAACATTTCACCTCCATGTTCTGAACATTGTAGGTACTAAGTGACTATGGATTAATTATTTGTTTCAGGTTGGTTTTTTTTTTTTTTTTGGTTGACTGATTGAAACATTGTCAGTAAAGAGAAGCAAATATGAAGCTTTAGGAGTTTCAGAGGGAGAGTGGCACAGAAATGGAAATGTTCATTCTATTTTGGTGGCAGCTGCAGAAAGATTCCTATTCTGCCTCCTATAATTGCTATGAGGATATTTAAGATGTGGAGCTCTAAGTGGCTGCCCTCAATTTGCTTCAGAGATAAAAATAACACCACCTTCCAGTTTATAAACCACCTTCTTACATACATTAGAGACCTACAACAATCCTGTATGAGTCCAGGGATTATTATTCTCTTTTCAAATAAGGAATCCAACAGAGAACAGGGAGTGACATATTGAATGCCACAGAAATTGTACACTGGTTAAGGTAAAGCCGGCAGTTACAACAAATAAATGCAAAAATTTGAGCAATTCGGTGTAATAAATCTCAGTTTTTGATGATCTTGTAGTCCCACACAAATGTTCCTGAATGACAAAGAGTCATCCAGGAGGTGATTCAGGGATTCAAGCTCCTTGGCTCTATGGTCCCACCTTAGTCTTTAAATCTGCATCCAGAAAGTAGTTGGAGATAGACATTCATGTGTTCAAACTCCTTGGTCCAAAAGTGATATTCATAACTTCTGCTGGTATTTTAAGGCTAGAATAAGCTACTGGCCCATACCTAGATAAAAGAGGATTGTATTAAGAAATGCCTGGAGGGAGACTTTTCAGTGCAATTCTATTTTACAGAAGAAGACAGTGCTACAAGCCAGTAAACAGGACTCAAAAACAGATCCAAGCCCTTAATCTAGTGCGTTTACTGCCACCACACACTGCCTGTGCATCAGTGTTACTTCAACCCCTCTCACAGCTTTAGAACATGATATAGCCTCAACAGTACTAAAAAGGGGATTGTCACCAGCGGGAAGCACCCTGGAAGTGACCATGAGGAGAACCAGGCTAAAGCCCTGTCCTGACATATCTGGCTGAATGAGCCTGAGTAACTGTGAAATCTCTCTACATCTCGGTTTTTAGAGACATGGATACAAACCTACATTTCTCAGTCTTTTTCATTCAAGCTACTGGACACTTAATATCTTTCCCTAATATGCTCAGAAGTGCTTATAAAAAGGAGTCAAAATTATATGACCCTCTTAATTATAAGTAGTAGCTATTAAAAACACATGCTCTTGAGAAACTTCCATGCAAAATTTAAAAAGTAAAAATAGAAAGGTAGGGAAACATTCTTACCCTTGCTCATCCTCGCTTCAGGAGCTGTACAATTTCTATTAGGCTATTATTGGCAGTACTGAGCCAGGGAATTGTTCATTCCCAAAACTGCATCTGTAGACCTCCAATTGAAAGGCACAGAGCTCTATGGCCTTCTAGGGCCCCAATCTGTTACTATCTGAATCTTGATAAGTGAATTCCAGTCACACACACCCTACAGAGAATGTGCCTAGAAATACTGGTTTTTCTCCTTCTCCACTTGTCTGAATCCAGAAGTGTATATTAAGCTGGAAGTGGATGGAGTCAATGGAAAGAGAGAAGACATTGAAAACAGCACACTTCATGAAGTCCAACAGCAGCTCTATCAAAAATATCCTTGAGTTGAAACATTGTTTGGACTCCAGTGTTTCTTCATGGTTCATAGTTACCCCTCCACTTTGAAAATCTCATTCTTCTCTTTTCCTCTTCCTCTTATCCATGAAATATATCAGAGAAAAAAAAAATACAGAGAATAAAACACAAGAAGCTTAGTCGCCTACTAAAAGTTTTGTACACTTGTTTCTGATAATTTAAAGAAATAATAGTCTTTAAAATGTTGATACTTGATATTTTTCCTCTATCCCATTTTTCTGTTTCATTCCCCAATAGTATAAATCTGAATAACCCAAAAGGCTGAGAAACACCATTTTTATGCAGAAATATTCAATAACAATGTATAACACTTTTTTGAAAAGGTGTCAAATTTGATATTAAGAGTATCACACTATAAGTTATTATCCTATGCTTGTTTCTTTTATTACTTAAAGTTTTTGAAATTTGATTATCGAATATATGGCACACTAACATATTCATTTTAAAAGTTATAAATCATTCTTTTAAACCCCGTTTTCCCTATGGAGGACTGTAAGTTACATATGATGTTGCACTAGCAATATTTAATGTGTTTCCTTGTATAAGTGAGAGTTTCTATGATGCATGTTTGTAGAAATGGGCCAGATATAGCATTTTCTTCAACTTGACTAGATATTGACAAATTTCTCTCCAAAGTGATTTCATCAAGTCCTCAAATATTCCTGTTACTTCACCTTTTTGCCAAACTCTGCCTTACTAACCTGATTGGCTTTGATCTGCACATCAATCATTCCTAGTGTGACCAGCATGCCTGCATGCCTGTGTTGGCCATTTGGGTCAGTCATTCTGTGGATTGCTTGTTCTCATCCTTTGCCCATTTTATACAGGGCTGTGTCTTTTTACTGATTTGCAGGAATTTGTTATATGTCTTTGAAAGTAATTCTTCTCCAGTATTTCTTTGCTTTTTTTTTTTTTTTTTTTTTTTGCTGTTGTTGTTGTTTTTAACTTTATTTTTGGTGTGTTTTGTTTATAAAAATTTGGACTTTTAGTGTAGCCAAAGTCCTAAATCTTTTTCTTTATGAGTTATGATTTTTACATCATAAAGAAGACAGCTGCACTTACAAAGATATTTTACTAAAAGCATCAATTTTCCTTAACAGTTGGTTATTTAATCCTCCCTGGAATTTATTTTTAAGCATTAATGTTATTAGGTATCTAATTTCAAGGTAAACCATTTCTTCTAGCTTTATTTATTAAACTAGTAGGGCTAGTTCTTCTATATTGTTATTCTTCAGAATTCACTAACTTTCTTGGTTCTTTGTGTTTCAGTCATAATTTTAGAACCGTCTTATTTTTATTACAATAGCATTGAATTCATAGTTTAATTATGGAGATAGGAGTAACATATTTACAATATCAACTTTTTTCATTTTAAGCAATCCTAAGTAATCCTGTGAGGCAAACATTATTACTACTATTCTTATTTTATAAATGAATATTGATCTTATCAATTAGTAGATGCCAACTATTTGGAGAAGATTTGGTTATAGAGAATATAGCCAATTAGATAATTGCCAAATGTATGCTTTGTCTTCATACCTTCGTGGATGAAACATAGGAGACTCTGCTACTTCGATGCTAGGTTTGGATGTTTGACTCTAATTATCCAATGCGATATTGGCAGACAAAAAATGAACAGAGATTTAAAATGTGCTCGTGCAATCTGACTTGCTCTTCTGCACTTCTGCTGTCACCATGAGCACAACATGCCCGTGAGGACCCACAGGTATCAGAAACATGGAAGACATGAAGACGAGACTGGACTGACCTGAAGTTTGGTGCCAACACCTGTTGAGCGTAGCCTACGGCTATAAAATGCTTTTAGTTTGACCAAACTCAGGTTTGTGAATAAGAAGAAATGGTTGTTGTTTTAAACTAATGAGCTTGGGGATGGCTTGTTATGCACCATTATTACTGTAGTAGCTAACTGGTACAGAGAGGAAGAGAAAATGAAGAGTAAACTGCCTATAAAAAAGAATAAAATAAATTCAAATAAATATTTTAATTGTTCAAGTTCTCTCTGAAAATAGCAGAGTCATATTCTAATTCGCCTGCAGATCCTTTGGCTTTTCTAAAACATGCATTAATCTCTATCAGAATGGAAGTATTGTAGGCATTTGCACTATTTGTCTAAGGCACCGTAATTTCAATGAGGAATTCTTTTAGCCATTTTATCACATGGGTCATTATTATTCACTCCATAACATTGATTTTATCAATGAGGAGAAAAATGACAAACTAACTACATTCTGTTTACAGAACTTTAATCCCATCACATGTCAACCACATATTCAATATGGAGCTGCTTTATTCAATATGACATCAGTAATCACATGAGACTGTTTAAATTCAGTTTCTGAGTCACAGCAGCCACATTTCAAGTATTCAGCAGCCACATGTTACTTGTGGCTGCCATATTGAACAACACCAATATAGACTATTTTCATCATTTCAGAAAGTTCTACCAGACAGCACTGTTACAGAAAATATGCAAAGTAGTACTCTCTTTTATACTTGTCTAGTTGACTCATTTAAAGAGCTTTAGCATACTTACAACATGTTATACTTCAGTAGGAATCCCTTGCTAAATAAGTCTCTTTCGAATTTGGACATGTGGAGCCATACAGTTCTGTCAGTAGAGCTGGCTGGTATGTTAAAGAAAATGTATACAGGTAGTCCTGACCTCTGGTCTCCTGATTCAGTTGGAGCTCACAGGATAAAAGAGCTTCTGTCTCCATCTGAAAGCATCTGGAGCATGCTCAGCAGTCATGCAGCTGTGCTTACCTCCAACTTGCTGCCAAGCTCAGAAGGGAACAAAATCAATTAAAGGGCTAGATCACAGTGTTTACCACGGAGGGAAACCCCCCAAATCTATAACAGAGAGAAGAGGGAGATGATGATAGAAAAACATTGGGCACTGAGAAAATTACAACTCTTGGTCCAGATCAGTCCCTATCTAGAGAAGTTGTTTTCATGCTCTGGCTTTTGTATTCCTATCTGTAAGAAAAACTGAGTGCATTTCCATATTACCAAATGCCATAGTGCAAAACTTTCAGTACTATGATAATTCCTCACCCTCACCTTCAGTGTCATCAGAGAGCTGTGTTCCAGCTATCGGTCCATAGACAATGTTCAACGCCCTTTGTAGAAATCTGACATTAGATATGTGCTAGAAGCTCTCCTTAGGGACTTTTAAAAATAAGAGAGAGTCTATATGTAAAAGCACTTGGGGCTCTTGCATCTTGAGAAGGAGCCACCCATCCCACATTCAGATTCTTAGCCCTAGGGAAAGGGTAAGCATTTAAAGATTGAGTATTTAAAATATTATAGTTGCAATAGCAACTCCTAAAATGAATGAAATATAAAAATGAATAAATGTCTGGTGTGAGTAGTGTTTTACAATTTCTCTTCCAAATGAAAGAGACCCCCTTTTTCTTTTCATTTGGTGGCTTGGTTTATACTTTCACTTTTATAGTCCAGACAACCCGCAAAGTTAAATTCAAGCCTACTTTTGTTCTCTACAAAAGGAGCTTGTTTTAAAAGAAAAAGGTTAATAAAAATAAATAAATAAAGGAGTTTCTTTGACCTTTTCTGAAAGGTAGATTATTACCATGGAGAGTGAGGTAATCGATTATTCCATAGGTATTTGACTCCACCTGATTTTCCAAACTTAAATAAAACTACCAACACTAAAGATATTATTATACTTGCCAATATAATGAAAGAGACCATTCAATTCCAGACTGTCCTAAACTTAAGAAAAGAATTTAAAGGTAAGCTTTCAAAAAAATAATCACACTTTTTCTTCATTAATCAATATACTGTAGGCATGAGAACAATGATATAAAGAGAATTCACTCAAATCTGCCTACCCTTCAATGTATCACCCAATAATAAGCACATCATTAACTGATGACTGCTAATCACTGTTTTCCAAAGTTGTTTATTTATCCTGAGCATACAGTAGTCATTGAAGTGAATTTTACACCCAAATGCTGTGGTTGAATCCATCACCAGGCAATCAATTACTGCGTGGGAAGGAGCATGAAAAGGTACCCCAGATGCAAAGAGATACAAATACTATGGTTTAGTTCCTGTTTTCAAGAAATAGTGATCTGCTAGAGCTGAAAATACAACCTACTAGGTCTAGATGCAGTGAAATATAGGTAGAAACAAAGTTTCAAATGAAACACAATACATTCTGACTAGTAGAATCTAAGAAGGCTTAGCAGAGAACAGAGCACTAGGGCTGAACTGTGGGAGTCCTTTGACATGAAGAAAGTGAGGAAGAGTTCTCCAGGCCATTGGAATGTTCAATGCACTGTCCAGTTGGCCCATGAGACAGGGCACAGGGCAGGCGGTGGTGATAAGAGAAGATGGAATCAGGGAGGTGCATTTTGGAAACCACTAAAGGGGCTCCTTAAGGGATGTGAATATCACTTGCAGATTATCAGAAGTGCACATCCTGAGTCATCAAACATTTCCAAGCAGTGGATGGACATTAGGGTATTAGGAGGTTCATTCTGACAGCCTATGAAGAGTGGACACACTAGAAGCAAAGAAAACATTTTAGGAAAATGTTTTGTTGTCAAGTGATGGTACAGGCCCAGCGTGGAACAAGGGGCAGTCGGATACATCAACATGGAAAAGGCTTAGAGATAAGACCAGACCCTAGTACTTCTAGCCTTGATGAAAGAGAGAAAGATGACCCACTGGAGAAAACAACGAATCTTTCTTCTGTTCTAAGGATATGGTGTTAAAATCCGTATTTTATTTCTGCATTTACATATTTATATGTCATATTATGTTATTTTTCTATTGCCAGGCCCTAATAGAAGGCATAAATCCAAGACTAAATGAATCTTCAATAATAGATATTATTCATTCATCCATTTATATGATCAACAAACATTCATTGAGCATTACTCTAGCATGCATACTATAGATAAGACATACAAAAATATTGCAAGAAATTTACTTTTCAATATTCAGAGGAAGAAATTATTTTTGTCAGGAAGATCAGGAAGACATTTTTGAAGGTACTGG